AAACTCGTTCGGTTGTTTCGCTACTAGTCTCGTTACAGACCTCGAACATAACATCCACAGCAGGTAAGTTAGTGTTACAGTTACTTAACTAATTAACAATTATTCAACTAACTATCACTATTTGGTCATCTTTTAAGCAATGGACCCAGTACTCACAGTGAGGAATCCTGATCAAATTTATTTTCATCAGGTGACAACCAAGAAAGAAAAACAGCTGACAAGAAAAACTCACCCCCTGACCAGATCTCACTACAGAACTCCCGGGCCCCGGCACATTGCAGGTTTTTTAAATTGCCGTTTTTTTATTAATTTAAGTTTGGCTAAATATTCAAAATACAATACAGACAGTATTTTCTAAAATCCAATATGAGACCTCGAAAATAGCATCCACAGCAGGTAAGTTAGTGTTACAGTTACTTAACTAATTAACAATTATTCAACTAACTATCATTATTGCGTCAATTTTCAGTACCCACAGTGAGGAATCCTGATCAAATATATTTCCAGCAGGTGACAACCAAGAAAGAAAAACAGCTGACAAGAAAAACTCACCCCCTGACCAGATCTCACTACAGAACTCCCGGCACATTGCAGGTTTTTTAAATTACCGTTTTTTTATTAATTTAAGTTTGGTTAAATATTCACAGTACAATACAGACAGTATTTTCTAAAAATCTAATATGGTATTGATAAAACACCTGTTGAATGAGTCATGGATAGATAATATTAAAAATAAAATGAAATGTTATATTTATAACTTATTCCCTGTAGATAAAGATAGCGGAGGAATAATACCTGATGAGAAGGCGCCATCTGACGAAACCTCAGTTTGAACTTTGAAGCATGTTGGTATGCTGCCAGGGAAACTTTTAAAAATACGATAATGAACTTGAATTCCTCCACGCCAATAGCTAATTGTGGCAGTTACTAGAAACTGGAACATTTATTTCAAACGGTTATTTGGAGAACGCATCCATGAATGTGTTAGATTTTTTGAGAGTAATTAAGTGGCAAATATTCATCCTTGTCTGGTTGAGTGATTAAAGGATCAAGGATAAAATCGATTTTTGGGATCACAATTTCAACATTGATTTTCTCAGATTATGTTCGCGTTCAATAAATTTGACCAGTTTTGACAACGAAGTTCGTTACAGTTTCACTACTTAAATGCTCATACATTTCCAACACTTCCAAGATAATAAAAGTAAATGTGATGTAGCGGAATGTTTATTTTATAGTAAGACAATAACCACTCCAAGTTAAAACTTTGCAATGAAATAAATTTACTATTTACATCAGTTCATCTCCCACAACTGTAAATACAGTATATTTTAATGAAATTTGATCTGCTATTCACCTTTTTTATCAAACCATTTCGCAAATTAAACTTTAATTAGATAATCTTATAATTTTGTAGATTAAGTTCTCTTCGAAGCGGTTTTAATTATTTCGATCGACAGAAATCTGAATAAAGCTTTAAAACTGGCTTGATATAAAAAGTAATATTTATTATTTGATAAAATATCAATTTTTAATGATTTATTGGTTCAAGAAATTCAAGGATTGTCAGTAAAATTAAACAAACAGAAATGATCCATGAACATGTTGCGAAACATTTACTCGACAGTCGGCAGAATACAGTACTTTGACATAAACATAACTATTTGTCACAATTCAGACCATTTTTAAGAAGTTTTACGTAAAAGTATATCGCATTTGTATATTGTAAAATTATTTGTCCTAAAAATGTACGGTAAATACCCTGCCGCTAAATTGTCTGGTTATACTGCTTTGTCCCGGGGCATGTTGACTGTATTTCCGGACAGCCCTCCCTCTCCTAGACTCTGCGCGGAATCAAAATACCCCATATAAAGTTGAGGCATGGGCTCTTGTTTGTTAGTCTCCTCTAACGTTGTGTAGAGGACAGAGGTAGGTTAGCAGAGGTCTCCCTCCTAAGTGAGGTGGTCTGTATGGGCTCTTGTTTGTTAGTCTCCTCTAACGTTGTGTAGAGGACAGAGGTAGGTTAGCAGAGGTCTCCCTCCTAAGTGAGGTGGTCTGTATGGGCTCTTGTTTGTTAGTCTCCTCTAACGTTGTGTAGAGGACAGAGGTAGGTTAGCAGAGGTCTCCCTCCTAAGTGAGGTGGTCTGTATGGGCTCTTGTTTGTTAGTGTCCTCTAACGTTGTGTAGAGGACAGAGGTAGGTGGTCTGTGGGCCGGGTGAGGCGCCTTGTGTAGTTCTGCTGGTCGTGCGTCTATACATAGATAGATATAGATAGATAATATAGTATATACTTCACGACAATCTGTTGTTAAACAGGGTTTCAGAAAGCCCACTTCCCGATACTCCTGAAACTTGAAATTTGTTTAACAATTAATTTGGTCAACATCTAGCTGCCCTGCAAAATTTCAGAACTCTAACTCAATTTTAACATGGTTTTTAAGGCACCTGAATATGGCGATTTTGGGTTTTTTACCGAATTTCGTATAACAGTTCTGGCGCGTATTTATGCAAAATACTTAAAAATCTCCACATAACTATTTCTTAATCCTGTCATCTTTGACATCTAATTAAAATGTTTTGAACTAAAAATGGATTAAATCTGCTGAACGACTTCCAATGAGCCTTAATGCCTGAAAAAACAGTAAAGGGGGTATAATAGAGTAATAGTATAGAACGTATAAGAGCCACAGTCATACTTGCCAGCACTGTGATATATGTTCGAACGACTCACCCCTTATAGACTTCGCTGTGGCTAACATCAAGTTCTTAGTAACCTTCGTCCATTTTTTTGAGCCGAAGAGTGATGGTGGGTGTTACTGTTTCGTAGTAGGTCGATTGTTAAGTTTCGCGGTGTTGACGTATGAAAGTATGAACATTGAGCATGAAGACGAAACACTTAAAGCCTATTGCACAGATTTTACCGATTTGTGTCTTGATTTTTGTCTTGGTTATAGCAGCTTGAGCGGCTTATGACTGATATTTTGAGAGAGTTTAAAGGCCACGGCTTTCATCTCTGATAAGCGGTTACAATAGATTTTGATACTGGTGGTCTGGTGCGGCGGTAGATGGTACCGGTCACAGTACCGTTCACAGTACCGGTCACAGTACCGTTCACGGTAACGGTCACAGTACCGTTCACAGTACCGTTCACGGTAACGGTCACAGTACCGTTCACAGTACCGTTCACGGTAACGGTCACAGTACCGTTCACAGTACCGTTCACAGTACTGGTCACAGTACCGTTCACAGTACCGTTTACAGTACCATTCACAGTACCGTTCACAGTACCGTTCACGGTAACGGTCACAGTACCGTTCACAGTACCGTTCACAGTACTGGTCACAGTACCGTTCACAGTACCGTTTACAGTACCGTTCACAGTACCGTTTATAGTAACGGTCACAGTACCGTTCACAGTACCGTTCACAGTACCGTTCACAATACTGTTCACAGTACCGGTCACAGTACCGTTCACGCTTTCACGGTAGAGTGCGAGTGGACGCAACAGTGAATTAGCTCAAACCGCGTTTGTCTTGAAATGCTGTTCTTAATCCGAAACGCTAACAACCATTTTAATTTTAGAAAAATATTTAAGTATTGAAACTGCATCATCATCAACAATCAATATTCAAGACAAAATGAAACAATGGAATACCGGGTCCCGAAATTTAAAATTGTAGTCAGTGTTTGGTATTGTTCTCTTTTTTTGTTTTTTGGAAGAATATGAACAATAACAATAACATGATTCATGAATAATGAATTTTTTTAAATCTCATCACAACTATTTCTCCCAAAACCCTGCACAGGGTGAACAGTACCGTTTCACAGTACCGTTCACAGTACTAGTCACAGTACCGTTCACAGTACCGTTCACAGTACCGTTCACAGTACCGTTCACAGTACCGTTCACAGTACCGTTCACAGTACCGTTCACAGTACCGTTCACAGTACTGTTCACAGTACCGGTCACAGTACCGTTCACGCTTTCACGGTAGAGTGCGAGTGGACGCAACAGTGAATTAGCTCAAACCGCGTTTGTCTTGAAATGCTGTTCTTAATCCGAAACGCTAACAACCATTTTAATTTTAGAAAAATATTTAAGTATTGAAACTGCATCATCATCAACAATCAATATTCAAGACAAAATGAAACAATGGAATACCGGGTCCCGAAATTTAAAATTGTAGTCAGTGTTTGGTATTGTTCTCTTTTTTTGTTTTTTGGAAGAATATGAACAATAACAATAACATGATTCATGAATAATGAATTTTTTTAAATCTCATCACAACTATTTCTCCCAAAACCCTGCACAGGGTGAACAGTACCGTTTCACAGTACCGTTCACAGTACTAGTCACAGTACCGTTCACAGTACCGTTCACAGTACCGTTCACAGTACCGTTCACAGTACCGTTCACAGTACCGTTCACAGTACCGTTCACAGTACCGTTCACAGTACCGTTCACAGTACCGTTCACAGTACCGTTCACAGTACCGTTCACAGTACCGTTCACAGTACCGTTCACAGTACCGTTCACAGTACCGTTCACAGTACCGTTCACAGTACCGGTCACAGTACCGTTCACACTTCACAGTACCGTTCACAGTACCGTTCACAGTACCGTTCACAGTACTGGTCACAGTACCGTTCACAGTACCGTTCACTGTACCGTTCACAGTACTGGTTACAGTACTGGTCACAGTACCGTTCACAGTACTGGTCACAGTACTGGTCACAGTACTGGTCACAGTACTGGTCACAGTACTGGTCACAGTACCGTTCACACTTCACAGTACTGGTCACAGTACCGTTCACAGTACTGTTCACAGTACTGGTCACAGTACCGTTCACAGTACTAGTCACAGTACCGGTCACAGTACTGGTCACAGTACCGTTCACAGTACATAGCTCCGTGAGAATTAGAGGAAGTTAAAATATAAAATAAAAAGCTCCTTTTTTGTTTGGGCGAGGGCACTTCACGTAGAAAATCTGTTCAATGTGCGCCACTTTTCTTGGCATAGTAGGCTGCAAGAAATTTAGATCCTTGGGTCAGCATAGGTAGCTCCCAATTTGATCTACTGATTTTCAAACTGGATATGCATTGGAATGGTAAATGGTTGAGGTTGTGCTTATCCAGTCTTGAAGAATTGTCACTCCTGTGCCTTTTAGTTTTGTTGTTGGCAGCCCTGCAGCTGATCCTTCTGTGAGAGTACCGAAATTAGTCATCCAAATTGTTTTTACCTTAATTTAAAAATTGTATCACCATAAAATCCAACGGTTCATTTTTCAATTAAGTGGCTGGCCCGATGGAAATCAGGATTCATTATCGTTTCACAATTTCTGACTCCAATTCCCATTCCTACCTGGAGGATGTTATACTGCCGGTCGTACAAGTTGAAGCATCTTGGAATTCAGCTTGGACTTGGAGGGCACATTCCACATCTTTTACCTCCTTGTTTATAGATGACGCTTTCATCTCAAAATCCTGTAATAAGTTGAATCATTTAAATTATTGTTAGTGTAAATTAACGTAAAAGTCATAACTACCTTTACTTATCGGACATTATTTGAACGGACATTAAAATGAGATCCTTCAGCGTGATCCAATTATAATGTCCGTTCAAATTAAGTCCGAGGAAGGTAAAAGTTAAGCATTTAAAATTACAATTGTCTGACGTCTGTTTCGAAGCCATTATACAGACCATCACCAACCAACCAATCAATCATTCTCGCAGACTAAATTCCGAGATGAAAATTCAAACAACTTTTACATTATTTCAGCTCACCTTTTTGAGATTTTCAATTTCGTCCTTGTAAGCTGCTAAATCTTCTTTAGCCCTCGTCACAGCCAGGTTTAACTCCCGCGCTAAAGCATCTGCTCTTTTAGTAGCGGCTGTTAAATCCTTTTGTCTATTCAGTCGTGACTGTAATATTAGTGATATCGATGTTTCAAAGGATCGCTCCTCTTTAGCCAGCTGGTGTCTTAGACCGAAAATTATATCTTTCTGGCACCACTTTTCCTGAGGAATAAATTAGTTATTTATATTGCAATGAAATAATTGTATTTGAGTATTTGTACTGATCATCATATTTTCAGAAATAATAAGGTTTGCCAGCAGATTGATTAAGTTTACCTTTATCCTATAATTGTTTATACTTATGTCGTGAACACTATAACAAGTTGAGCAACATATTTAATATGGTGACAGGTGACTGTCACCATATTAAAAAATATTAAAAATAACCCTTTCACCTTTTCGAGGAGCTCTATTTTTTCTTTGAGCAGGTCATTCTCCGATGTCAAGATTTCAATCTCGTCTTTAAGAAGACCTTTTTCGTTCGTTTCAAACCAAATTTGACATTTGTAAGCGTCCTTTTCCTCGATCAGCTGCCCCAGTTGTTGAAGAGCTATTTCTCTTCTTTACTCTGATTAAGAATTTTGGTCAATCTTAGTCAGTCAGTATGAACATCAAGCGCTAAACAAAAAAAAATGTATGCAGCATGACTGGTGACTGATAAAAGACCAAAATTTTCAAGTCGAAAATTGTCAACACAGTTTGAATGTAAGCACCTTAAGACTTCAAGAGTTGAGCTCGGCTGGTCGTCTTGTTCGAGAACATTTCCGGATAGCAGTTTGGATTGCTCTTTGGAATCCCATTGAAGATATTATATTTTCAGTACAAGATTAGTGGCAGATAACTGTCGTAGGTAATTTGATGGCATACAACGAATTAACTAGTGTGGAAATAAATATGACCCGCGTGCATTTCAAGGATTTCAGCACATTTGTCGCGCGCGATTTTGTTCGCCATGACAACGCAACCAACACGTGCTAACGCGTATAAAACAAATCAGATATTAATGGCATTAAAGATGGTAATAATATAGTATAGTATAATAGTACAGGGTGGCCCAGAAGTAACTGCCCACAAGCAACCCATTTCAGAAAATTTCAGAAATTATAGATAAGTAGATATGCCATATGGATCAAACTTAGATTTCTTGATAGTTTCGTGTGGTACGCCACTCCTTCTTTTTCACTATTGTCAGTATAAAGTGAGAACGCTTTCAGCTAGAAACTTTTAGACACATTTGGTTTGATAATTGAAGTGCTTTCCCAAAATTTCAGGTTGGTTGTTCACAATTGAACCGAGTTATGACCCTTTTAAGATCTTGCAGATACGTGATCCAGCACTTAATCAGTGAACTCAATTAATTTTTTAAAATTTTGTCATAACTATTTCTCCCAAAACACTGCACACTGTGAACGGTACCGATCACAGTACTGGTCACAGTACAATTCACAGTACTGTTCACCCTAGATGTTTTCCTGCTTGACACGTGTCAGCGATTCACCATGACCAATGAGCTTTTAGCAGCAGCCAGCAACCAATGGATTTACAAAATAACAGTCACGTGTAAAAACGAATATACTTAGCCTCACCACTAGTATCTAGATCAATAGCCGGCCTGGGGTTTTATCGAAGCAGTTTTCTTCTTTTCCTGACGCTGGTAAACCCCTTCGTGGTTCTCCAGGTATTGATACAGAATAAGATAAGAAACACTTAAAGCAGCTTAGACATTGTCTAGCAGAGTTATGTCTTGAAGGATGCAGCCAGAGTGACTGGTGTTTTTGGAGGATTTGACCGAGGCTCCGGTTACAATGAAGCTTGTCGTAAGGTATACCAATTTCCTAGTCACTAGTACCTAGATCTGTAACCTACGTAGCTCCTGAGTATAAACATGGAATAGAACACTTCCACCAGTCCTCAGTCTCCGACGCAGCAGTGGTTCCTGGTCCAGGAATCCTGGTCTAGCTGTCGTTGTTCGTAATGACTAGTGGAAGCGGGTCACTTGCTGGCTTTCTATTCAGTTAGGAGCTATTCAGTTAGCTCGTCTAGTGGAAGTTAGTCAGGTCACCTGCTTGTTTACTGGGTGGGGCGCGCTGCCATTCCGCCATATCTTTAATCGGTGTGTTTATGAACACAAAAGCCGGAGGTCCCCAGGTAACTGTTTGCTCTCTCTCTCTCTCTCTCTCTCTCTCTCTCTCTCTCTCTCTCTCTCTCTCTCTCTCTCTCTCTCTCTCTCTCTCTCTCTCTCTCTCTCTCTCTCTCTCTCTCTCTCTCTCTCTCTCTCTCTCTCTCTCTCTCTCTCTCTCTCTCTCTCTCTCTCTCTCTCTCTCTCTCTCTCTCTCTCTCTCTCTCTCTCTCTCTCTCTCTCTCTCTCTCTCTCTCTCTCTCTCTCTCTCTCTCTCTCTCTCTCTCTCTCTCTCTCTCTCTCTCTCTCTCTCTCTCTCTCTCTCTCTCTCTCTCTCTCTCTCTCTCTCTCTCTCTCTCTCTCTCTCTCTCTCTCTCTCTCTCTCTCTCTCTCTCTCTCTCTCTCTCTCTCTCTCTCTCTCTCTCTCTCTCTCTCTCTCTCTCTCTCTCTCTCTCTCTCTCTCTCTCTCTCTCTCTCTCTCTCTCTCTCTCTCTCTCTCTCTCTCTCTCTCTCTCTCTCTCTCTCTCTTTGGTACCATTACCAGCGTATTCTGTCGACATCTATAATTAAGATTGAGCTGGTTTTCCGTAATGTCCATCACTGCAGTAGTAAGATGTGTCATATACCCATAAAGTGCGATACTTAAAAACATCCTTCTATTTTGTACCTAGCGTGTTTTTTGTTGTATTTTTCTTGTAACAAAATCAATTCGTTAATGTTAACATTTTCATACTACATTAGCGAAGTTAAGGTGAAACTAGAAATCAGTCAAGGTCAGAGAACTCTTGAGAACGAGACAAGATTCCTACACAATAAAGAATTGCTTCACTTTATTGATAATTCTATCAATACTTGTACAAGCGTATCAAGGTAAGACACGCGTGATATGATATGAAATTATATCCACCAGCGTGCGCTTTTTCGCATAGCGGGCTCTCACCAGCCCGCTGTCAAAGGGCCCGATATCTCTACAGCCCGCTCATGATATAGCCCGCTAACAAGTGACATTTAATTTGACCAGTAGCAATATAGCCCGGAGTTCTCTAAAATATTTTCAGTTTCTGTATCGTCTCCATGTGAAATTCCTTATATTACACTGACTATATATATACATTTCACCGGAGACTCGCGGGCGGAACAAAATATTGCACGCGCAATATGTCCCCGAGGGCGCTAGCCCGAGGAGGACATATTTTTGTATAGCACGGAGGGCCCATCGGGCCCGAGTGCTATACGATTTTTCCGCCCGCGGGTCGAGGTGATGTGGATTATATCCACCAGCGGGCGTATTACAGTTAATATATAATTTTATAAATAAACAATGGAGCTTGTATAAAAGTCAACTCTAGAAAAGGTCGCCACTAATTGTTGTAACCATGGTAACACGTCACGTGTTCAATGTAAGCCAATCATAAAGGGCTTTGTCGTATATAGGGGCTCGAGATGCACTGCATTCCCGGGCCGTTACGTTGGAATAATGAATGTAATGTCAGTGACGATGAATATCAATAATATAGGGGGATTATAGTGCTGATGTGTATTATGTAGTGTGTTACAATAACTTTGATATAAATCAAAATATCATGTCATCTGCTCACGAGCTGCATGAGCAGCCCTACCGGACACAAAAATGAAATGTATAATATTATATATATAGTCAGTGTAATATAAGGAATTTCACATGGAGACGATACAGAAACTGAAAATATTTTAGAGAACTCCGGGCTATATTGCTATTGGTCAAATTAAATGTCACTTGTTAGCGGGCTATATCATGCAGAGCGGGCTGTAGAGATATCGGGCCCTTTGACAGCGGGCTGGTGAGAGCCCGCTATGCGAAAAAGCGCACGCTGGTGGATATAATTATAAACAAATTAATACTATCAAAATTCTTTTTACTGGGCGGCGCTCGGCCTATCAATTATTATTCCAATATATATTCAATCTGTTTATGAACAGAGAAGCCTCGAGGTCCCCAGGTAAAATTCGTGGGGAGATATAATTAATTTTCTCAATCGTGATGTGGTAGTTGGTACCCTGATATAAATGACTTGTAAGTTATATTTATACTTTATTAAACCCATGTCTATACTGCCAATGGAGCTACACGTTTCCAAGAAAGCTTGATTACTTGATTCAATTTTTATTCAATTTCCTGTAAAACTAAAATAATTCCTCCTGTCCCAGTTCCCACCCCTAGATACCTCGCAATGTTCACATGCAATAGCAGATAATTCAGGGGTGTAGGAATGATTTTCTGTGCTCCACAGTCAGAATTTCAAAGGTTTTAAAAATTTCAATACTATAGTAGTAGTACCGTACAGTTTAAGTTTGCTCGTGCAAAACACCTGGAACTCTGGAAGCAATTTGGCAATAGAGACATTTTTAAACTATCTTTACACTGTACACCATTAAAATATTCTCTAAAAAAAATATAACTCTACTAGTATAATATGATGTTTTCAAGGGTCACTTGGCGGAAAAGTCGGCGAAATTATGGCACTCAACAACATAGTTCATGAGCTAGTCCCCGCCAACATGACAAACTTGTTCCAGCCTCTAGATAATACGGTAAATTGTGTTGCCAAGGACATTGTCCGACATTGTTATAGTTCATATTACTCAGGGGAGGTAATGAAACAGTGCTAGGCAAGCCCCACGTGATGTTAAGGTTAACCTAAAGTTGTCTAAGATAAAACCACTTCACGCCGAATGGCTTGTAAAAGTTAACACTGAAATGTAGGACCGGGGTAGTTTGATAAAAAAAAGGTTTCCATAATGCTTGAAATCACTGATGCTTTAAGGACTATATCATGCACGAAAACCCATTTGATGAAGACAGTATGTGATATTAGACACTGATCATGTACACTTATTTTAACATTTTTACTGCTTAACGACTGCTTTTCTTACTTACTGTAAAAATGGATTTAAAAATCATTTGTTGAAATGAAAAAACGTCAAAAAAATGAAAAATATTCGGAATTTTGATGGTTTTGAATGCCTTCTAGCGTTCATATTAATGTCCGTTCATAATTATGTCCGTTCATTTGATGTCCGTCCAAATAAGGTCCGATAAGGTAGTCATAAGCATCGCGCTTTTTCAAGATGCCGAGAAATTGCAGTCTCCGTTTAAGGTCAAACTCCAACAACTGAATTATAAATTAAAATGTGTTTTCTTTCGAACATACGTGTAACGTGACATTTGGAATTGTATATTCGGTTTAGCCGCTATATAGGTACTTTTCACCACTAGCAACTTATAGTTATAGTGAATTTTAGAAAAGTGACCATGGAATAACTATAAGGAATGTTATGCTAAATAGTAAATATGCTAACTCATTGTTATGACCCAATTTTATCGCCGATAATTATCGTTATCGCGATAATTTCAAAATTGTTATCGGTTATCGGCGATAAAAATTATTGGACCCTACAACAGAACTGTGACTGGGAGAAAGCGATATTCATAAAAATAAATTTTTTTTTTTATATCTGTTTTCAATTCAGTTTTTTCAATGAACAATTTTGAGTCACATATATGAAATATTTCAATGGATACTGTACACAATACTGTACAAATAAACACTAAATTCGACAAGCTTTCTGTATCACTTTCAGGTTTTGCTAAGCAGTGTATACGGAGTTGTCAGCAGGATTATTGGGTTAACTGCTTAAGACAGTGGAGTCGTCTATAAAAGAAAGTTAGCCGCTGCAAAGGCTGTTGACACATTTGATTTGATTTGAAACTTTTACAAAATAGCAAGTATATTACAAATGTACAGCACATCGAACAAACATATAAAATGGGCCGAAATGTATAAATGCTAAAAAGCGTGGGTCAGTGAAACAAGTACAAAGGACAACTTTCAGAACAGGAGTTTTTTGGCCGCCCAAAGTCTCAATAACATCACCTCCACAAAGTAATAAAATGATGAATTGTGAAAAGTGTGAAACAATCAAATAATAATCACAGTGCTGGCAAGCACGACCGGTGCATTTATTGTGGGTATACTATGTACCCCCTTTACTATTATACCCCCTTTACTATTATACCCCCTTTGGTACACGTTACAAGCCTCTTGGCTCTTTCGTGCACGCGAAGCGTGCACTCCGGCCGGAGGCGGCGGCCTTCGGCCGCCGCCTCCGGCAGGAGTTTTTCAGGCATTAAGACTCATCGGAAGTCGTTCAGCAGATTTATTTTTAGTTCAAAACATTCTAATTTGATGTCAAAGATGACAGGAATAAAAAATAGTTATGTTGAGATTTTTAAGAAATTTGCATAAAATACTCGCCAGCACTGTTATACGAAATTCGGTAAAAAACCCAAAATCGCCATATTCAGGTGCCTTAAAAACCATGTTAAAATCGAGTTAGAGATCTGAAATTTTTTAGGGCGTCTAGACGTTGACCAAATCGACTGCAAATAAAGTTTCAGGTTTCAGGAACATCGGGAAGTGGGTTTTCTAGAACCCCTGTTTTACGACAGATTGTCGTGATATCTATATATATACATATATATATATTTGACCAAAACCCATAATCATGGGTAGAGTGGACCGCTGCCAGTGTCTCTCTTTCCCAAACAAAAGGAAATGATATTAATTTGATTGACCGTTTTCAAATGCAAAATGATACCGAGAATGAAATCGGTCGCTCGCTTTTCCCATTCATTCACGGCTTATACGAATTGCAATAGGTTTCGATAAATTACATCGATCACATGCTGTAATAATCTCTTTGGGTTGCGTTCGGGTCGATACCTAGTATTTCGGGATAAGGGTGGTAGTTAGTGGATTAGCTGAAGTTTATTGAATATTTATTGCCGAGTACAGCTGTCTTCGGGTATGGTAGTTCTTCTTAATCTATTACATTTGTAAATGAATGGGAAAAGCGAGCGACCGATTTCATTCTCGGTATCATTTTGCATTTGAAAACGGTCAATCAAATTAACATCATTTCCTTTTGTTTGGGAAAGAGAGACACTGGCAGCGGTCCACTCTACCCATGATTATGGGTTTTGGTCAAATATCATCGCTTTTTGATTAATGTCAGGGTACTTTATAAAGTCGAAATATAAACTGATATCTTCATTAATAAGGAGGAAGTTTCAACGATTTCGAAATTTTTCCTTTGAAAACATTTCCTTGTGTTTGGGTAAGCATATCGGTCGATCACTGACTGAATTTGCCACTTTATACTCATTCAAGTTGGCATTAAATTTATATATAATGACATTGAACTGTCGTGGTAAAGCAGAATTTGTTCGAAATCACGAATGAGCAAAATTATCACCTTTCGCACGTGCAAACTATGAGCGGACGTTGCGTGCGCATCCAATATTGAATCGCCGTAAATTTTTGCGTGTTGGTGTTTTATATATAGTTTGATAAGCATGCAAAGTTTCAAAGTATTTCAAGAAGAACTGTAATCACAACGGCACACCAACGTTTACAGAAAATGGTTAAAACAGCAATTTTCAGTGATTTTAGCAATTTTTAATCAATTTGGGCGTGTCCCCACGTGTGCAACTTTTAGATTTTCAACTTTAAAACTAGCCTAATACACAATTTATACCTATAGGAAGCAGAACTGAGCTCCACAATCCAAGGGATAGCCCAACACCAGAGAATACTAAATCGCAAAATTGACGTTTTTATAAAATAATTCTTCAAAAAAGCACTAACTTCAATGGCAAATATCTTTATGAAGGAGTCGAGCAAGGTAGGGAAACTTTCCGGTAGATTTTCAGAATGCTTGAACAATTATCTAAGGTGAAAATGTCCTCAGATTTTGAATAAAATTACTCCTTAATGGTGTAAAATCAGTTTAAAAAGTTGTTATTTTGTCAAAAATCAAGTTTTAAAAACACTTAATTTGATGACGTCATCAAGTGGTGATGATGACCTTAAATTATTTTTTGATATAATTGAAACTGAAGTGTAAACAATTATCTTTAAGACCTGTGGTCGGAAATTGCTGTATCTTTTATACTTTTGAATCTCCGGACACTTAAATTCAGGCTACAATTGACTACATTTGACTGGCAAAGCGTCTATCCCTGAATATATCACGACAATCTATCGTAAAACAGGGGTTCCAGAAAACCCATTTCCCGATACTCCTGAAACACGAAATTTTTTTTACAGTCGATTTGGTCAACGTCTAGACGCCCTGCAAAGTTTCAGATCTCTAACTCAATTTTAACATGGTTTTTAAGGCACCTGAATATGGCAATTTTGGGTTTTTTACCGAATTTCGTATAACATGCTGGCGCGTATTTTGCGCAAATTTCTTAAAAACCTCCACATAACTATTTCTTGTTCCTGTCATCTTTAACATTGAATTAGAATGATTTGAACTTAAATATACCTGCTGAACTACTTTCGATGAGTCTTAATGCCCGAAAAACAATAAAGGGTTATAAAAGTAAAGGGGGTAAATAGTAAAGGGGGTAAATAGTATTGTGAATATAACAGGTATAAGAGGCACGGTCATGCTTGCCAGCATTGTGATATCAGGGATAGACGCTTTGCCAGTCAATTGTAGCCTGTATTTAATTGTCCATAGATTCAAAAGTATAAAAGATACAGCCATTTCCGACCACAGGTCTTGAAAATAATTGTTTACACTTTAGTTTACATTGTATAAACAAATTATTTGACATCATGAACACCCCTTGATGACGTCATCAAGTTAACCGTTTTTAAAACTTGATTTTTGACAAAGTAATAACTTTTAAAAATGACTTTACACCATTAAAAAGTAATTTCATTCAAAATCTGAGGAAATTTTCATCTTAGATAATTGTTCAAGCATTCTGAAAATCTACCGGAAAGTTTTTCTAGCTTGCTCCTTCATAAAGATATTCGTCATTGAAGTTTGTGATTTTTTGAAGAATTATTTTATAAAAACGTCAATTTTGCGATTTAGTATTCTCTGGTGTTGGGCCATGCCTTGGGTTGTGGAGCTCAGTTCTGCTTCCTATAGATATAAATTGTGCATTAGGCTAGTTTTAGAGTTAAAAATCGAAAAGTTGCACACGTGGGGACACGCCCAAATTGATAGAAAATTGCTAAAATCACTGAAAATTGCTGTTTTCGTCATTTTCTGTCAACTTTAGAGTGCCGTTGTGATCCAAGTTCTATTTGAAATCTTTTGAAACTTTGCATGCTTATCAAGCTATATATACAACAATTACATGCAAAATTTTACGGCGATTTAATATTGGATGCGCACGCAACGTCCGCTCAAAGTTTGCACGTGCGAAAGGTGAGAATTTTGCTCATTTGTGATTTCCAACAAATTCTGCTTTGCCACGACAGTTTAATGTCATTATAAATGAATTTAATGCCAACTTGAATGAGTATTAAGTGGCATATTCAGTCAGTGATCGACCGATATGCTTACCTATACACACCCCGAAATACTAGGTATCGACCCGAACGCAACCCAAAGAGATTTTTACAGCATCTGATTGATGTACCTAATCAATCGAAACTTATTACAATTCGTAAGCCGTGAATGAATGGGAAAAGCGAGCGACCGATTTCATTCTCGGTATCATTTTGCATTTGAGAACGGTCAATCAAATTAATATCATTTCCTTTTGTTTGGGAAAGAGAGACACTGGCAGCGGTCCACTCTACCCATGATTATGGGTTTTGGTCAAATGTATGTATATAATATAATTGTCTCTCAAATACAGATTACAGACAACGTCCGTAAACTCTTAAGCAGTAAAGATATACTTCTACATATTATACTGATCGGTGTCCGAGAGACATGAATTACGTCATGGTGTCTTCTTAACACGGCTACAGACCTTTCCGTTAAGACAGTGTGAGTGGAGTCGTCTATAAAAGAAAGTTAGCCGCCGCAAAGGCTGTTGGCACATTTCCAGTATGACTTCTTATCACGCTTTCTGTCCGAGCATTACCGGTATACCTCGTGGATGACGTTCCGTGAGCCAGAAGTTGGACCAGGAATGGTGGCCGTAGTGTTCTTTACCGAACTGTCGTACTCGATTCCACTTACATTGAGAAAAGACAATTTTTTTGACAAAAGAAAATTTTATTATTTATCACCAATTCAATACACAATCAATAAATATATATCCGAATAAACTTGATTTAAAATTAAATGATACAAGTATGCTAGCAGCTAGCGCGCTTGTATTTAATCAATATTATACACGCTGTTAAAATGGGTCTGACCACACCGCCACTCACGTACATTAGCACAGTTGGTGAAAGGACCCAGGCGCTGTTAAGCTTTTATGAGCCCTGGTTGACTGCTGAGAGTGGCGACGGGTCTGACATTAATTTTGTATTAGTTTTCCTTACATTCCAGTAAAATTTAAGTTTTGAGTTGTATGATTTTCATGCGATATTTAACATTTAAGTCACAGCTGCTCGCAATACATTATTGCTTAAAAATGGTTAAATATGCTAATCTACAGGCTATCGTCAAACATGTTGCAAGGCGTCATCTTCAGTGACATAAGCCCTAGAAATTGTAAAAAGTTAGTAAACCCTAAATTCCTTTAAAAATCTGAACACTCTTAAAACGGTTATAAAGTTAAAATTAAGATGTTAGGAGTAAGTGAAGGCCAAAAGGATTTACAGTGTTAATTCCCAAAGGTTTTAAAGTCTTGAGTAGTTGAATATATTTATGTTCACGGACTTCCAAAGTTTTAGGACTAGAATTATCAATAATTGACACATTAAACATTTTGTTAAAATCTTCCCTTTGTCTAAAACCATGATAGTCTATGTAATAAGCGCCATGAGCTGGCACAGAATTTTTTGTCTCTGATTTTGATAAATTTGGTACCAAAATTTGCCTCTAAGTGTGAATAATGAAAATTCACCGTGTAGCGCGATAACGTCGAGCTGTATGTGGGCCTTTTGTGCATCGCAAGAGTGTACAAAGGACGAAAAATGGGTAATTTATTGCTTAAAATTCCTATAACTCTTAAAATATTGAATATTTTGAAATAATTCTTACAGGATCGTAATGAGCTTAGTCAGACGCAACTTTTAGTACCAAAGTTATAATTTTTGAAGTACCAAATTTTTCAAAAATTTGTTCAAAATTTCAAATTAAAAATTTCAGATTAAAAATTTTTGAAAATAATTTTTCTTTAAATCTTAAAATATTGGTACTAAAAGTTTTGTCTCGATGAGCTGATTACGATGCCATAATAATTATGTGATAATAATTGAAAATGTGAAAGTTATAGGCCAAATTAAGCAATGTCTTCTAATTACTGCACTATACTAATACTATTATACGACCAATCCGGACTTATATTTATAAGGTCGAGTCTATTAAATGTTTACGATGTCAAACAAATTTAAATGTAATACAAGAACTGAAAAGTTATCGTAGAGGAGGAGGAGGAGGAGGAGGAGGAGGAGGAGGAGGAGGAGGAGGAGGAGGAGGAGGAGGAGGAGGAGGAGGAGGAGGAGGAGGAGGAGGAGGAGGAGGAGGAGGAGGAGGAGGAGGAGGAGGAGGAGGAGGAGGAGGAGGAGGAGGAGGAGGAGGAGGAGGAGGAGGAGGAGGAGGAGGAGGAGGAGGAGGAGGAGGAGGAGGAGGAGGAGGAGGAGGAGGAGGAGGAGGAGGAGGAGGAGGAGGAGGAGGAGGAGGAGGAGGAGGAGGAGGAGGAGGAGGAGGAGGAGGAGGAGGAGGAGGAGGAGGAGGAGGAGGAGGAGGAGGAGGAGGAGGAGGAGGAGGAGGAGGAGGAGGAGTAGGAGGAGGAGGAGTAGGAGGAGGAGGAGGAGGAGGAGGAGGAGGAGGAGGAGGAGGAGGAGGATACCTTACCTTTGATACCTTTGATCTGCTTCGTCGAAACTCGACAGGCCATCAGAGTTGCTGACCACCCCAGAGAGAAGATGCCTCTCGATCGTTACGCCAGTCCAGTATAGAATTGGAGTTCGGTGATGTGAAGCCCCGGATTGGCGGTTTATCAGGCAAGGAAAGCATGAATGCCGTCATATGATGCTTGAAGCCATCATGCTTGGAGACTGCACGTATGTGCGAAGGTATACAGTTCCAGAGTCTGGGACCCATTACACCAAATGATGTTTCATATAGAGTCTGGTGAGCAGCTGAGCTTTTTGTACGGACAGCTGGAACCTTAGCAAGGGTACCCAATCGTGGATTTGCTGTGAACTGTACTTCAAGGTCGTTGGATGTGAAACCATGTAGGATTTTCCACATGTGCATGACAATGTAACGTTCTCTGCGCCTCTGAAGTGACATGAGGGACAGGGTTTTTAGGCGATCCCAATAATGGAGATGCTGTAAACCATGGATCTTTGAAGTGAAAGTTCTTTGTACACTTTCAAGCTCCTGATTTTCATACACTTTCGCCGGATTCCACAGAGGAGAGCAATACTCTAAGTGGCTACGGACTAGTGACTTGTATAGTGTTAACATAACACCAGTATTGCGAGAGTGGAAGACACTGAATACCCATGCTGCCATCTTCCTCGCTTTATCACAACTAGATCGTATGTGTGATGTCCAGGACGTATCACTGGATACTGTTATACCGAGATCACGGAGCTGATCCACAGGACTGAGTATAGTACCAGTTGATGTTCTGTATTGGAACTGTTCGTGGACAAAAGGAAGCTCATAGAGAGGATTACGTTTGTTGGCAAGATGACATATGTACTCAAACTTATCCTCATGTAGTGCCATGTTGTTTCTTGATGACCACTCAGTGACTTTGTCAAGATCAGACTGAAGCTCAGTAACATTATGTGAATCACTGATGGATCTGCAAAGTCTTTTGTCGTCAGCGAAACATCTTAACGTTGAATGCAACACGCAGCTAGCAATGTCATTAATGAATATTAAAAACAGTATGGGACCTAAAACTGTTCCTTGGGGGACACCACTCATAATAAGAGCAATGATAGACATGTGACCATCTACAACAACTTGTTGAGTTCTATTTGTAAGAAATGACTCGATCTAGATGATGATTTTGGGATGAAAACCATATAGCTGCAGTTTTTTGATAAGAAGTTGATGATCTACTTTATCAAAGGCCTTGGCATAATCCAAGTATATAGCGTCCATGTCGTCACCATTTGATAACGCCTCGATGATGTCATCAAAATGATGAAGCAGCTGAGTGAGACACTTTTTCCCCGATCGGAAGCCATGCTGTTTGCTATTGAGAAGGTTGTTTTCTTCGAGGTGGGCCACCATCTGTTTTCGTAGAACTCGCTCATAGATCTTAATGACATGAGAAGTTAACGACACAGGTCTGTAGTTTCCCGCAATAGCACGACTGCCTTTCTTGTGAAGTGGAGCAATGTTTGATGTCTTGTAGAACTTCGGCACTGTGCCTGTAGACATAGAATGCTGCCAAATCATGTGTATAGGTTTGGAGAGTGCTTCTTTGCACTTCTTCAGAAGCAGGACTGGAAGATCATCAGGCCCAGCAGCGGCACCCGGCTTAATTTCATCAATAGCCTCCATTATATCAGCAACCGAGAATGCCAACATGTCATCAATGAATGGCTTCTGTAGAGAAGGTGACTGAAATAATGCATCATTGATGTTGGTGGCTGAAGGGTCACTGAATACACTGCTGAATTGACGCTGGAGGATGTTAGCAATCTCTTCAGGATTGGTGCAAGTTC